GAAATCTCCTGAAATTGTCATTTTCATCTTGCTTTTCTTCAAATGTTCATGTAATGTTTCTTTTTATCTTTTGATCAAGTTTCTTGTAGCTATTTCAGTGTGGAAGTCTTCTGGGTTTAGGCTACAGCTTATCGTCAGATGCTAGCAGTATAATGGGATGTGTGTATATTGGCTTCAGGCCATGCTAGGGCTGATCGGTCTTCCTACAGTCTCTTGTACTTTGTCAGCATGTAGTTAAATCATACGTGCATGTGGTATAAAGGGCAGGCAAGTACACAAAATGATCCTTCAGCTATCCTCTGCTGCTTAAACAGGGAAACAATGAATTATGATTTTCCTAGTCAAGATTCCTGTAGTTAAGTACTTCCTTCTGTGGTGTTTTTAAGCTGACTTGGTCTATTAATACAGTATGTGTATACATGCAACTATTATTTTCCTGCTTCCAATGCTGTATTTTGAAGTATCCATAGAGAGGTGTGAAAGAGAGTGCTGAGAATGAGAACTACATCCTTCTGCATTAGACCTTTCCATTTTGTGCTTGAGAGTGAGTAGAACATCACAGAACAGAAGCTGCCTGTGATTTGTGCTGTAGCGTGTGACCTTTCCTTTTCACGAACTATTGGAGAATTCTCTACAAGCAAACTTATTTATCCTAAGGCTTATACTTGCTATCAGCTACAAGTTTAGATGATGGGTTCTTTTCTTTACCAATGAAAATTAGTGGATGAAAGAACATACGGCCTGCTTTGGTAAGCCTTTTGTTGTACAAATTTCAAGAACCCTAGAAGATACAATTCATTAAGAAAGTTGCATCTTTCAAACTGCATTGATCTGACTTTTACCAAGCTGTTAAGCAGTAATGTAAGTTCTGCAAGGGGAACTCCCATACAGGAGAATTATTACCATGGTAAATTCCAAGTTCTTATCTACATTGATAAAGATGGGGAAGTGTTTTCAATACTTGAGGGGGTGAGAGTATTTTTCCAATGAGGAAAGTTTGAAATATATCCTTTTAAGACATCATACTTTCAAAATGCTAAGTTTAGAATATGGACATACAAAGAATTTTAGAGCAAGTCAGGCTGTGAATATACATTGCATCTGTTGGTCTGTGACAGATGCCTGTGCACACCTTAGCCTATGTAAATATAAGGTGATTGAAACTAGACTAGACAGCCCTTTGTTTTTGAAGAATATCTTCATTTTTATCAGAGAATGAGAGCTTGCTTGTCTGTCCATAGCCTTGAAAGGCTAGCTGCTGTTTCAGTCTGCCCTTCCCAGAAAGGGCATCAGTAGCTCCCAGTAGTTCAGTGAAAATTGCTTGTTATGTGCAATACGCAACTCAGTGTGTAAGAAAACTGATTTAACACTGCATTAATTTAAAAGCAGATACAGCTGGTATGTAATAAAGAGGTTGTACACACACACACAGAGATTCTGAGTTAGAAACATCCCAAGTTCTGGAATAGCAACAGGTGGGAATTTTAGTCTATTTATACAGCTACAGTGGACCTATTGGTGAAAAGTGGGCATTTAATATAACTTGATATTGGTTTCATAAAAAACCCAGATTTGGCCCTGTTACTGGATGTGCACAGTAATAAATCTTACCAGTAAGCTGCACTTCAGTGTAGCATGTACCTGTGGCTGCAGATCAGGGGGGACCCATTGATCACAGCTGGCTTACCATTAAGGGTGATGGATTTTGCTCTGCATGTGTGGCAGGTCAACCCTCACATCTCCAAAGGAGTGGTCAGTTGCATGTGTTTTTCTTGCAGATGTGCAGAGATAACAAAATGTCATACACAAGAATTTTTTCCTTTTGCTTTTTAAATTACTTTTTCTTAAGAGTTTGAGTTGATGGCACCAAGTATGAAAAAGTTGGTATTGCCATCTTAGCTTGCCCGTATTTAATTTCAACTCAGTCATGTTACAGCTGAGAAATAGAGCAACGGTTAAAAAAGAATTTCTACCAGTTGGTTAGACAGCAAAAGGACTGAGTCTTAGGAGAAGAGATCAGGATGTCTCTTAATCTGTGAATTATATTTCATTAATAAAGAGGAAGAAGAGCTTGAAGTGCCTTTGGAAGGGCTTGGATTTCAGCAACAGGAGTCACGGCTTTGTCAGCAGATGAAAATGGCTACTGTTGCACCATCGCCAGAGCCTGTTGGCTGGCAAGTGGAATCAGTGACCAGCACAAATTCGGGACATGTTTGTACCCAAGGTAGGAGCTTTCTGTGCTTCAAATAGTTCTGAAAACGGGTGGTTAGATGTGGATCAATCTGTAGGGATTGACTGACTGGATAGTTGTGATGCGTATTTCCTCCATTTCACTACCTGCCTTCCAGACAAGTATTCCACAGTTTAGACACATTCCTGGCAATATCCCAGCTTCATAGGAAAAAGCCTTGTCATCCCTTAATGGTTATTCTTTTTGGTGCATGACTCACATGATAAATACCACGGCAGCAAAGCCAAATAAAAACCTCCCAGTAACAGGCTATCATGCATATAGTTTGTGCATCCTTTAAAGTAGAGTTTTTCTTTTTAATTGAAATCTTACATGGGGCAATATGACAACACTTTGGATTACACTATTGGAATATTTAGCAGAAGGAAACTATTTTTCACAAAACCTGACTCTGAGTAAACATAAAAACCAGCGTTACAGCAGTTAATGCTTTCTATCCCTCCTGTGCCCCCTTCCCAACAGAAGTAGGTGTTGGTGTTTTAATTGAAAAAAAAAAAAAAAGTAAAACTTGGTATTTCAGGCGGTCATAGTGTAGATAGTCATGTTTGGGGTATCTCGTTTTTCCTTATTTGTGAGAGGCAGATTATCCTGTGTCTGATTACTGCAACATTTCTGATACTTTACTCTGAAATGATCGGCTGCACATGGAGATGGGTCACTAACCTTGATGGAAAGCCATGCCTCATCTGTTGTGGCAGTTCTTACTTTCTTGTGTAGTTGAGAGCATATGGTTCAATTTTACATCCCTTGGTAGTTAGTTCTTCAACTGGTTGTTTTTCAGGATAGCATCAGGAAGCTGGCATTTTATTTTGCTGTGTTTAAGTGGCCATTGTCAGTTCCAGAAACGTGCAAGAGGACAGACTTGCCAAGGCTGAATCTGAAAAATGTATATGAACACCTGTCATTATTATCACTCTGAGATAGACTCTGGTGTTTTCATTCATGTAACTTTTTAAAAAAAAAAGTTTTGACTCCATATGAAGCAGCATTATTAGCAAGAAATAAAAAAAATTATTTTAACAAATTCTCAGTTTTTAATGCAAAAGCATTGTCTTCTAGTGGTTATTGTTGCGTATATATATTTTTGTAATGTGATAGTGCCTAGGGAAGCGCCGGATCCCTCTTTACTTCCTGCGATGAGCCCTGGCTGAGCAAGTTTGCATTGTAAAGACCACAAGCTGAGACACTGAGGAATTACGTGGAAGTGATGCTAACTAGTGTGGCAGACAGTGGCATGAGCACACCGAGGAGGTTTTTATGGCAGGATTTGAAGAGAATAATGAGGACATTTTGACGGGTGTTACCATAAATTTTTCTTAAATTGTTTAGGAGTTGCTGTCTCAATTAAAGAGGCAACTTTATGGTGGAGGAAATTAAGACTCATAAGTAAAGCTAAGTAGCTTTATTTGTTGGATTACAGAATGAAGAAGCAGTTAAGGAATGCAAAGATAAGATGGTTGCATCTGAAACAAGTGGGGAAATGGTGTTTGTGATTGCCTTCTAACTAGATGTAGATGGGTATGGGTCAGTGCTACACTGCTACTTGTCATGCTTGGTCAGACTGAGTTTCTGCTGTCCAGTAAGACTTTTTAAAGTTATTACTGGTTTTCAGTTGTCATCATAGTCTTGAGGCACTTTCTTCTTCCATTTCTGAGCCTTAATTAAAGCAAGGCTTGAAGAAAGGCCTTTTGAGCCAGCCATATGTCTAACATTGAACTGTTCCCTCTGACATCTGAAATCCTAGATAGCTTCCTAACTTTTTTTTTTTCTTCTTTCTGTTTAGCCTCCAGTTCCAAGCCTGAACTCAGCTCCAGTTCACAGACTTCGGGAAGTCAGCAGAACAAGACAGATGGCACCCGAGTAAAAACTCGCATTCTGCCCAACATGCCAAAGCTTTTCATACCTTCATCTGTCACCAAATTTCCACCTGAGATCACTGTCACTCCACCCACTCCCACCCTCCTTTCTCCAAAGGGCAGCATTTCAGAAGAGACCAAGCAAAAATTAAAGGTAATAAAAGGGAAACAGTAATTTATTTAGATTTATTGTTTTTATCTTAATTCTTCCCTCAGTAAAATACTTGTATGAAAGGAGCAACAGTTCCTGTCCTCCATTCATAACCAGAGATAGAATAAGTAGTGGAAGTAGATGCTAGCTGTTATCAGCAGGAGACAGTTTCAAAGGACTGGTGAAATATTGGCTATGGGTGAAATCATAGCTATTCTAGTCCTTAACCCTTTTCTGAGGGAATTAGAAAGAATTGCAAAAATGGCTAGTGCAGCCAATGCAATTCTTAGGTTAGTGAAAGCTACCGGAATCTTAACCTGTGGGGAAGCCTACTGGTAAATGTTATGTTGTTTCTCATTAGGGCACCATATCTCTTATAGAAGTAAGAGAGCTATTGAATGTGGAGGAATATCAGCCAGGTGGCATTTATCCCTGTGATCACGGGTTTATCTCGACTATTTAGCAATATATTCTCTCTCTCTCTTTTGGGGATCAGTCTGCTATTTTGTCTGCTCAGTCTGCAGCGAATGTAAAGAAGGAGAGCCTTTGTCAGCCAGCTTTGGAAATCTTAGAGACTTCAAGCCAGGAGTCCTCACTGGAAAGTGATACTGATGAAGATGATGACTACATGGACATATGAATGAATTCTTGCCACCATCAACACCAACCATATAACCATTCTTCTTGTTGCCAGCATCTCTGGTAGTTGAAACATCTTCTTTGGCATTACTCTCCATTTAATCTGCATCATTGTGTTCTTCACTTTCATTACCTTTGTTATCACCACTACCACTTGTATTGCCTTCAAAATCTTTGCCATTCTCCCCATCATGGTGCTTGATGGAAAGAATGTTTGTTTACCAGGCAGTTAATTAATTTGGACCACACTGTCACCTTTAACTTCAGTAAATGCAAGGACGTTTTAAGCTGCGATTCACATCTCTACTGTTCCTGCTTCTTCAAACCAGAGCCTTGGGAGTCACTCCAGTAGCTCATTTCTATAGCATTTTCTTTCTTTTAGTTGTCATTTTGCATTTTCCCCACTAGTTAAGTTTTTCTCCCAATAATTCAACAGCCTACTATCTGTCTAGCCATGCCACGATTAGTCCAACAGCTCCTGTTAAGGTGAATGGTTTAGGAAAAATTTGCTGAGCTGGTGGAGGTTTCAATTGCATTAAGAAAGCCTATGGCTCTGTGGGGCGAGAAGGGTGAGCCGAGAGTCTTGTCAGCTCCTTGGCACCATTGGGTGCTGCTTTGGAATTTGACTTGGTCACAATAAGCAAAGAATCAGCTTTTCAAGGCAGACAGAGAGGTTGGCCTCCTGTTTGTGCACATTTCACACCAATGTATGAGGTCCAGCAAAAATTATCTACCTGAATGTTGGCTTAAAGAACTGATCTTTCCAGAATTGTCTTACAGTCCTTTCTCTTCTAATGCCTTGGACAAGCGTTTTGAATTGGTGGCTAGATGATATTTTTATGGCGGTATTGAAAAAGCTTGAAAGATTTCAATACCATTTCAGTTATGTCTGTTTTTTACAGAATGACACAAAAAGGTGTTTTTTATCTATATGCAGAAGGACTGCTCACAGTTATTTATATGAGGAAATAATGGTAACCAAGATCCTTTTTTTCTACTAAATGTTACCTTTGTAAAATAATGAATGCAAACCATGCAAAAAAAAATACGTCACACTATATCTACACACGCGTGCGCCCACACATATATATATGTGTATGTACATATATATATGTATGTATATGTAAAAAGAAAGTGCATATAGCTTGCAATGTTGGATTTCTTTGTGTTTGGGGAGGTGATTTTCTGTAAAATGCAGAGCTTTGTATAAACTTCTGTTTTTCTAATAAAGTTGAAATGTACTGTTGTCTCTGTTCACCTGAGAGGACAAGGTGCCATCGTTCTGGAAAAAGTACTACTCCTCCCTTCATTTTATTTCGTGGTTGAGAAGGTAGTGGAGGAGGGGGTGGGGGGAAGCCTCTTCCTGTTCTGAAGACTGCCAGAGCTGTTTGGATGGGTTTGGTCTTGTGTGACCCAGAACCCAGGTCAGCCAGTGTTGCCAAGATTGCCTGCAGTGGGTTCACTTCCCCATTGAGACATGATCCGAATTCTTTTTCACCTATTGGAATATCTTGGAATGCTGATGAACAACATGGAGGAAGGCAACACATGGTGAATGGGATCACATATTTGGCTGTACAGATTGGCATTTAATCCACTATTACAGTGATTGCTGTCATTCACTGTAAGAATGGTAAATGGACTGTGGATAAAAAGAAGCAGCATCAGACTTTGTATTGCAAGTTTATTCTCATATTCTGGGTTGTTTGTTTTGAACAGAATGTAATTTATAAGCAAGCGAGTGTGTCATTCTTGGGTGTATTAGCAACTGTTCATGTCACTTGTTCACTTACCACAAGTGATAGGTGAGCTGGATACAACTGATGTGGAAAAGGTCACTAACTGAATGGTGAAAAGCAGATGGGTATTTTCAATAGTAATATGTTTCCAGTGTTCTTTAATTTGCTGTAAGTTATTGTAAGTACAGTGTCTCACATACTGTATGGTAATTAACTGGTAATAGGCTAAGGTGGCTTTAGATAACCAGGCGTGATCTTCATTTTTTTAGCAGATAACACAGGGAAAAAAAAATGGAGCACAACATGGAGGATGTAGTTCTGAATAGGGCTCTTTTACCCAAATAGAATAGACTACATAGGCATTTTGGCTAATGTATATTCTTAAATGTATGGCTAACTTTAAGATCACATTTAAATTCTGAAGTCTGCACTTCTTGCCTGGTTTTGATGCATTTGATTTTCTTAATTGAATCTGGTCACTGAAAATCGTTGTTTTCCTGTATTATTCTTAAGGATTCCTTGGCATTAGGCATTTTGCTTTTTTTTTTTTTCTGCAAAGCTTACTAAAATGCCTGATTTTCAGCTTTCTTTTAACTTCTAGTCCTGCTTTTTGAGAAGGATTTAATTTTTTGCTAGTTAAGGAAAGCTAGAACAGTAAGTGAAACTGTTCCTGTCAGCAAAGAGAGCTGAACTTTGCTAATCTGCTCTAAACTCATTTTAATCTTCAAACTACACAACTGTGCAACTTGTTTTATTCTATGTTAAAAACCTCTTACCTGTTTTTTCCTTTTTTAATCTATGATCTTTTATTCCCATTACGCGCTTGCATAGCTCAAGGACTTTTTCTCAAGCTCAAGCAGTTACTGAGACTGAACTGTGCAGGCCACCTCCTTCAAATCTTGCCCTTCTGCTAATGACTAAATAGTGTGTTGCTCAGCTGTGGGCCGTCTTCCACAGTGGGTGTTACAGCTGATGTGTGCTAAAGGAGCCATTCTTCTATATGTGTGAAATCATCTCTGTAAGTACAATTTATGTAGTTCTTCAGTTCAAGGAGCCGTATTCTGGAGCGAAGATGCTAAGATCACTGGATGCGTTTACATACATGTTTGTCTGAATCACCATCCATAAAAGTACTTGGAGCAAGAACTTCAAATCCTTACAAACAGAAGCATTCACTTAATATGGCATCTTCTGAAGCCTGGTAATAAAATTTTGTGGAATTTCAAGAAAAAAAGCATTATGGTAAAACGGCAGTTTTAGTTGAAGTAACTTCTTTTATTTCAGTCTAATCCTAGTTGTAATAGCAAGTACAGGCAAGGTCCAACTTACCAAGTTGCATATCAAATGTAAACACATCTATCTTCAGGATTTACTGGGTAACCATTGCTTCTGAAATCTCGGTGTTCCCAGGTGTCTTTCTAATGTGCCAGACAAATAAATGGCAGCTACTGATGTATGTTGCTTCTGTATTCTGTTCGGTTTGCTTTGGTTTTCCCTGTGAAGCTATAGGGACAGGAATGTCTGGTGCCTAAAGTAAACTTAAAGGTAAGGTCTGTGACTGGGGGGGGAAGCTTCTTTCTGTCTGTCTGTCTTTCGTGTGTGTGTCCTCAATGGATTAAAAAGCAAATCCGTTTTGGCTACTGAAAAGCCAAACTGTTAAGACTTCCAGGCAAATAGCAAAACTGGTTTTGTTCCAAAGCAAATGGAAAAAAGAAATTACTTTGAATTGGATGTTGAGAGCAGTTTGTGGATAGTTGATACACTTTCTGTGCTGTTATTGGGCATTGTTTTTAGCCATGGTAAGACATCTTTTGCTGATTGCGATTGTTAAGGTATATAGTACTGGGATTTGGCTGTGTTTAATGCAACTTCATTTCCTGGCACAAGGTTTATATAATCTATGTATAGTTAAGACCATCGAGAATTTATATCTGAGGCAGGGACTAGTGTTTTACTAAGAATTAATTTGTTTGGCACAGTTTCTGCCCACTGCCTCAGAAATGCCATTCTTCAAAAGCTAATAATGTTTAATTTCACAACCAAAATATCAAATCAAGGAAGATACCGAGTATCTTCCTTAATTTTATCATGTACTAGGGTTTGTCAGTTGTTGTCTCTTGGTGTTTTTTTTTTTTCTACTAGAATGAGATTTCCACATGAATAATGAAATTAATGTCTTTTGCAGCCAAAATAAACACCATATGGTCAGGGAGAAAGGGACCAGGAAAAGATGAGGAAGGCATGGCAGTCGAAGCTGATTAGGAGACAAAATGGACTGAATGGAAACAGAGGGGCAAGGTGAGAATAGACTTAAGTCTTACCATCCAGGGTGGGATCACACCGTCGTTAAATTCAGCACTCTGGTTTTGGCAGTGGTGTTGATACCTCAATGAAGGTGAAAAATCTGTGGTGTATGTAGCTTTTGTGTACAGTGTTACATACCGAGCATAGCTCATTTCTGTTCCTGCAGATGCTTGTCATATTTTTTTAAGGAAAAAGGTGACAGGGTAGAGTTGGGATGCTCAGAAGAAAAAGCAGCAGACATAAATCTTATGATCTCTTACTTAGTAGTGTAAAGCTGGGATGAAGAAGCTTTGTTCTTGCAGTTGAAGATGATGGTAAGAACTTCAGCGTAGGTGTTGCGTGTTAATTGCCATCTTTCTGTTTCTTCTAGCTGATGACTAGGAATCCACTAATGCTAAGCTTTGAAGTGTGTCTCAGGATTCTGGGACTAACCTTGGGGTACTGTACCCCAGGCTGTACAAGCCCAAATGAGGACTCTGAGAGAACTTCCCTGTGGGGGACTCAGCTGTTGTTGTTGCAGGGCACAGTGCAACAGGTAGCATTGTGAAGGGTAACAGACCAGCGTGTGAGGTTTGTTGGCTTCTGGAGGACGACTTCTCTTCACTTGAATGGCTTACTCACATTAATGTTTAGAGACTCCAGGCAAATCTTGCTAGAGATTTAAAGACACATTTCTCCTTGTATATACATTGTTAGTCCTGCTGCTGTTTATCTAGTGCATGTATGAGGATGACACCCCATCAGCAAGCGCTTGTTAGCCAACTCCAGAACCCCTGTTCCACAGTTTTCAGAGCTGTTTTAGAGCTCACCAGCCGCTGTGCAGCTTTGTTCACGTGATGGGGGTATCTTGCTGCCTGTGGATTTCTTTTGGCCACAGCTGACTCTTAAAAAAAGAGTTGGGGTCTTAGAGACTATATATGGAACGTGCATGTTTGTTTGATTCCCCCCATAGGGCCATTTATACCAAGTACATGAGCTGTTTGCCATGTCTTTAAGAATTCAGTGCTTGCAGGGGCTCCGATGCAGGCTCAGACCGCAACCTTGCAATGCGCAGATGCAACAGCACAGTAGCTATGGATGTCAAGGGGCTGTTCTTCATACTAGCTCAAAAATAGTTTGTGGCCTATGGATGGATTTACACCCAATGATACGTCATGTATGAATAAGAACAAAGCATGTGGTAGGCCTGGCTGAGTGCACTCTCAAGACGGCGAGTGCATCGCTACGTAGCCGTGTGCCCAGAGTTGGTCCTGTGTCGTTCGGGAGCTACAGTGCCCGCTCTGGTAGCGCTAGAGGGGGCCCTAGGACAGAGACGAAAAGGAGGAGGGAAAAAACCGGGGCGGAGTGGAAGAAAGAAGGGAACAAACCAACCCACACCAAACACAAAAATGGGTGACCAGGATCTATGTTTAAACTTCTGAAAGACTGAATTACATTGCTGTTTTTGACCTCGCTTAGTTCTAAGGGCCTTCTGCTACTGTACCATATGTCCTTTTCATAATACATAGTTTGATTCCAAGCAGAGGGAATGAGAATCCTCATAGTCTGTTTACAGGATTCTGTCCCATGTTCCTGGCCACAGGGGGAAGGAAAAAAAAAGCTCACTTTGTTACCATTAATATTGCAACTTAGCAGGAAAACAGGTCTGCTATATCCTTGCTTTTCATGGGAAATCTGTTTGTTACATAACTATGTTTGTCTTTTTTTTTTTTTTTTAAATTCCCTTATAAGAAGCCTACTGGGTGTTTTGTATTTTCTTAATGTGTAGCATATTATATTGGGGGAGAGGAAGAGTTCTTTTGACAGTTAATCTTGTGTGAAAGGACTTAAACAATGCTTTCAGCTTCGTTAGTGTAAATCCTGATTAATTCAGTCCTGGTTCATTGCAGTGGCATGGGATTTGTACCAGTGTAGCTGAGCCCAAGAGTAGACGGCAAACACACAACTCATGGATCTGTGTTTTGAGATAGTTTTGTTAAAATAAAACTCTTAATTAGGGACACAAATGTATATGAAAATGATGAAAGAAATACGTAGCTTTCAAGTTGGGGGAAAAAACCTTGTGTAACAGTCTCTGTTATCTAAAGTAGCCAGGAGGTAAGATGAAGTACTGTAGTCATCTTGCAGAAATGCACATGAAATGGGATAGTGAGATGGAGCTGAGGCCATGAACTGACTGCAGAATCAGAAAAAAAA